TCCTGCAGCTTGTCCAATGTCCGTAATCCCCTGGAGTAAGAATAGAACATGAATGTACAATGAATGTATATCATAACTTGGTTCTGGTATGCAACAGAGACCTTTCCTCCTCGTAGAAAACCTATGTAGACCTCTTGTAAAGTTGTCAGGATCGGGGAAGACAAGACAGGAGCTCCTGTTGCAAAGATGCAATTCACCCTGGGCCTGTCTATTCACTTCTGCATTTTATTTCACAGGAACAGGTTACAAGTGTTATTAATTACTCTGAAGCAATGACAATGAGTAATTGCCGGTTTAAAAAGCAAGTGTTGAAATCTCTCCCTTACTATGAGATGGAAGTTCAGATGGTATTAATTTATAGATTTCTCACTAAGGATATTACAAATGCACTTGTTGCTAAAATCTGTCTTCTGCAGTGTATTGCTCAAAGGAAAATAAAGTGTATGTGGCAAGAGTGTGATGTGGACACATAACCACATTTTTTATTTTCTATATCAAACTCCTCCCCTTGTTGCAAAACGAGTATTTTGCAGCCTTCCGATTATTTGCTTTGTCTGGGAGTGATTATGTAAAACAAAAAACCCAACACCCAAGACAATCCCGCTCCAGTACACCGTGAATCTGGTGGGTTTTCACTTATTCGTGATCCAGCTTTGAAGAAATGGCTCTTAAAAAACGCACATGAAGACCTAAAGTCTTCAGAAATAGAAACCTGGGACGTGCGAGGCCAAAAGGCTGGTAGAAAGCTCTTGTGCCCATAAGCCAGATCTGCATGGGGAATGGTTTGATGGGATGGGGAGAAAGGCTATAAAAGCACAAGGTATTTGGGGGTGCAGGGATGTTGAGTGTTTTTTAATAAAGAGATTGTTCTGTTTTCCATGATTTTCCCCCAGGATGATGTCGTGGCACGGGCATGGATGTGCCGCAGCAGAGGGCAGTGGTGGCATTCCTGAGTTTTGTGGTGTTCCAGCTCTAAAGCTGCCCCTAGAATTGCTGCCTGGGTTTGGGGGGACCTACTTGCATGCCAGCAAGGGGTTTATCTTCATAAAAGTTCCCTAAATCTCTCAGGGTTTGAACAGGAATGAAGAGAGCGCCTTTGACGTGTAGTGGTGTTCTCCAGATGTTGGGGGTTCACACAGATGTGGGTTTATTCTGGGCTATTCGTAACGGCCCAAAGGATTTTGGAAATAATTTGCATTGGCCGATAATGAGATGTGATGTCTGGAGCTTGGGATTGCAATTCACCTTCTCTGTTTTGGGGTGAAATCTTCGAAGATGAGTGTGTGGGGTTAATATTTCTGGACTGTTTCAGTCTGCAGATGTGGACCAGTTATTTTGATTATTAAAAACGCATTGTTTCAATATGGCTTATTGCAGATATAACCGGGAACCGTGGTGAGCTGCAGTAACAAGGTGAGGTGAATTTTTAGTTCGTGTTTCGCTTGTGCTTGGTGCAGTCAGTGATGCCCCCCAAATTGTCTGAAATCCTGCTGATTTTGTTCCTATTTCATTGTCTTACCGTAGTTTTTACACTGAGGAAATAGCACAGGCTTTGGGAAGTTTTGTGGGGAGTTATTTTCTTGAGTATCAGCAGCAGACTAAACATTTGGGGAGATGCTCTTTATGATGAGGAGGAAAAGAAGCTGCAGATGAACCCGGGTGGTTACAGTTCAGGCTGTCCGAGAACAGGAGAGCAGTGTGAAAGAATAAATAGGGGTTCATTGTGCCAAGCATTAGTTGCATTTTGGAGTCAATCTATAAATGTCTGCCTTTCACTCCAGTGGTTCAGGATCCCCACATTGTCAATTCATCTGCTGGAGCAGCCTCTGGATAATGCCAAGGCATATGGTCAAGAGGCTGGGGCGTCCTCATCTTGTGTATGGATGCAAGGAGCCATCTGGAGCAGGAATCAGAACCAGATACAACAGGAGTTAGCACTATGGCTTTGAGCCTCTCTCCCTGCTCTTTGCTCTGTCCCTGCCCAAGTTTGGTGCTGTTATTACTGAGCCACTATTTGAATAGGAAATAAAGGGGAATTTAGTTGAAGTTGAAAATCAAGACGTGCTGTCTGCATGTTCAATTAGGAGGGCATAGCGAAATCTGTGTTCCTTCCTATTCATTGGCTATTACATTAAAAGCCTTCTCTCCTAATATATACTTATATATGCAGCCTGCTTTATGTGGCTTTTACCACATATGAAATGGAGACGTTATAATCAGGGCAGTAATAACGCTGAATGATTAAAAGTAACTTCTGATTGTTTTGGCTTTGGTCAAATGTATGACATAAAACTGCTGACTCGAGACAAAATGAGGTGGATAAAACGTCTCATTCCAGGCTGTGCTCATCCCCAAGTACAACCATGTATGACTTGTACAGTGAAACCATAGTGGTGTATATTAAAAGAGTAGATTAAAGTCAAATCTCTGTGAAACAGCAGGGTCAATGGAGAAGTCAGACAGCCCAAACCATCCTACAGGGATTAATTTCCCATAGGAACGTTTGTGGAGATTACAACATACTGAGTTTCTCTGAGGTCTGGAAATCATTTGCATGTTAGTACGTGAGATTTAAAATAAGTTAAATCCAGCATTCTGGTAATTGGAGTGAATGGCACCTTCTGAGAGCTGTGAGTCAGGGCTGCGGAGCTGCATGGTTTTGGGGTGGCCCCGTTGCAGGCACACCATGGCTCACCACTTCTGCACTCATTATTCAGGGAAGTTAGAAACTGGAGACTGCTTGTATCACCTTTCAGCTGATGATATAAGCTGCCTGCAGATAGAGCAAACTCATTGATCCAAAGAGAATCAGAGGAGCAAGGAAAATAAAAAAGGATGCAGTGATTTCAAGGTGAAGCAGTGCGGAACCTCCAGTCAACCCAGTTCTGTGTAGTCTGGATTGCTGGTATTGGTGGCAGCATCCGAGCCTTTTTGGGAGCAAGTTGCACTGCATCACTTTTAGTGGAATGGAAGTGCTGGGTCCCAGTGATGGACCATACGTTGTTGGTTCACTTACTCAGTATGTCAGTACAAAGTTCCTATATGTGGGGAAAAGCAGCCAGAGAGGGTGTAGTGACTGTATCAGGCTGTAGGACTGGCACTGACTGGTGAGGACTGGCTTCCCATGGCTCAGCTACAACTTAGGTTAAAAGACATAGACAAGAAGATACACCCTAAGTGCTGAGGATCTGAGTCACAGACTGGTTTGGGTTGGAAGGGACCTCAAAGCTCACCCAGTTCCAGCCCCTGCCAAGGGCATGGACACCTTCCACTAGAGCAGCTTGCTCCAAGCCCCTGTGTCCAACCTGGCCTTGAACACTGCCAGGGATGGGGCAGCCACAGCTTCTCTGGGCACCCTGTGCCAGCGCCTCAGCACCCTCACAGGGAAGAGCTTCTGCCTAAGAGCTCTTCTCAATCTGGCAGGTTAAAGCCATTCCCCTTGGCCTGTCCCTACAGACCTTTGTCCAAAGCCCCTCTCCAGCTTTCTTGTAGCCCCTTTAGGTTTCGACTCCAGAAGTTTCCTCAAGAAGACCTCAGGAGGACGGTGCAAGAGATTAAATCAGCAGTTATGTCTTGGAGCTGACTTCAGAGGGGTTATTTTCTTTGCTCAGAGAAGCTGCTATCCACTGCCAGTATTTGCTGCTTTGCTCACGCACTGTTGAGCAAATGTGATAAATGTCATTCTGCTTTTTGAGCACTGCTGGGTTTAAACAAGCCTCTCAGCGGCAGAATATCTTGTAAATCCCCTTCTTGTAAGCAGTAAATAAGTGGTTGGGGTTTTGCTCAAAGAAATAAATATTGGCTCTTTGGAAGAATGGGGGGACTTTTCTACCCCAGAGAGCTTTGGAGGGAGGACTAGAGAGTGGATTTGGACATATCATAGCTGCTTTGCTTGGATATGCCAAATCCAGGAGGTGGGTGCTCCTCTGCCTCTGTGCCGGACTGTTGCAAGGAGAAATGAGGGCATGGGGACCCCAATGGACCCGGGTAGAGGGGTGATGCTTGGACCTGCTCACTCCAGACACTCAGCACAGCAGCATCCTGTGCTGTGATGTGCTCATGTTATTACTCATGATAATGGTTTAATTTTTCCTGGTTTCTACTTAAAAAGAAAACAAAACAAAACAGGAAAAGAAAAAGAAGGAACTTTCAGCTTGTCTTTTGCTCAATCGTTTCCTTTCACAGTGAGTAAAAGCCTGTTTCAACAGCGAACGCAGCGATGGAGGTTAGTGCGAAAGCTGGGGCTTTGTGAGCATCAGGAGGTGAGTCTTGCCTAGATGTGCCACTAACTTTTAATTCCCCTGTTCCCTGTATCTCCTGCAGGAGGACTGAACCACGGGTGTGTGCAGGGATTGCCAGAACCGGGACAGCTTTGGGAACAAGCTGCAGAGGGTGGTAAATATCCAGATTCCCAGCAAGTGCCAGCTCCGGGGAGAAAGGAGATGCCCTGCGGTGTACCCGAGGGCTGGATCCCAGATCAGCCCTGCTGCCAGAGCCAGGATCCTGCTTTGCCCTGGGGTCCAATGGAGCTGTGTCAGCCCTGGAGCAGCGGGACTGCTATGGGATTTCCCTGTGGGGCGCAGGAAATGGCTGACCTGGCAGCCGAGATGGATTTAATCCCTCACAGGAAAACCCCTTTATTGAGTTCCCTTTCCCTCACCACCGAAGCCCCTCACCGAGGCATTGGGTCTGTCTCAGTGAGAGAGAAGATACCCATGGGGCTGCGAGTTCTCCCCGAGAGCTGACTGCAGGGGAAAGCAAAGCAAACCCTTTTATATGATCATCTGGCTGCACTCCTCCTCCTCTCCCCCTCCCCGCATGTGGTGTTACAGCCTTTGGGAGGATGGTCCTAATTTGCTGAGCCCCAGTGACTGTCTCCTTACTGCTAAGATCCCAAGCAACACCCCTCTGCTCCGTGCTCCTGCCTCCTTTTGGTTCATCCCCCCCCCCCCCCCCCCCCCCCTTCTTTTTCCCTTCTTTCCTTATTACTACAGGTCCGTTGCCAAACAGGATGGCCCAGGGTTGTCCTCTTTGCCTGGAGAGCATAAATACCACTGGGGAGCTCTGTGAGACTGCAGTTGGTACGAGCTGCTGAGCTGAGACCTTGTACATCTCGCGCCTCCTGAGGCTGATTTCATCCTTTTCCTCCTAGCTTAAATACTTCAGAATTGATTTTCCAGGCTTGGAGGAGCTACAATTTCCTTGGGACTTGGAAGTACTCAGCAAGGTAAGTGTAAGCTTCGGTCTTTGCTTCCGAGATGTGATTCTGGGGGTTCAGGGGAGGTTTGTGCAAGAAATGTCTCTATTCAGAAAGCAGTTTTAGTAACTGCTCCAAAAAGTTGCCTGCATGGTGTTCAATAGCACAGCACTGTATGAGCTCCCCTTACGTGTGCTTTGCAGAGGTTACTGCAAGATTAATCTTGAATGAATGGGAGGAGTTTGCAAGTACAGGAGTGGGTTTCTACACACACAGAAGCAATCTAAGGGATGCTGCAGCAGCCTCTAATAGCTGGCTACCCATGGGCACACCTACCCTGCACCAGGAAGCCTGTGTTTATTCAGCTCTGCTCTTAAGCCCTGTCTAAAAGGAATTTCACAGTGTCGCCACATGTTGTGTCTGTTACCAGTGGGTTTTCCATGTGGTTTTGCATAGAAACTCACACACTTCAGTTCTGTGGGAGCGGATTGTAATGGAAGATCCAGATGCTTTGGCCCGTGGCCTCGAAGATGCTGAATCTGTAGTGTGTTCTGTGCAGTGTTACGTCCTGCGTCAAGGGACTTGTCATTCTGCTTTTCTTTTGAAGCCAGCGCAGTTCTTCAAAGCTAAAGATGTGTGCGTCTCGGTTAAGCAGATGACCTGGGGTTTAATGCTTTAAGTATGTTGTGGCTTTATTGCCGGCTTTCTTTGCGCAGGGTAGAAGCTGATCCCAAGTAAACTCAGTCTAAAAGCTGCTCTCGGGCTGACTCCCCTCTGCTTTGCTGGTTTAGATGCTTTGCTGGTAATCCTGAGCTAACTTTTGCCTTTTCCTGCCTTGTCAGCTTGTTCCATGTATAACTTCTCAGGTCCTGGGAGGCTTTAACTGCAAATGTCATCCGTAACCAAGGAGTAGACATCCGCTCATATACTTCACTGGAGAAGGCAGTTAAAGATCAGTAGCTGTGCGGAATAAGGTGAAGTGGGGACATAACGAAGTGCAGAAGTCAGCCTGCATGTGGCTTTTTAGCAGGCAGAGCCGCATGCCAGGCTTCAGATGCTACCAACTCTTCTGTGCAGTGCAGACACCATCCGTTAGCTGGGGAAATAGCTTTCTAAATATAGTGTTTTCCAAAGTCTATTTAACTGTTTAACTTGCTGGTTAACTTGCTCAGACCCAAAAAGAAGCCTCCCTTTGTCCCCAGCTTTGGACAGGCTTTACAGCACATCAAGGAGCCGGTTTCTGCTGACTCACCCATTTCTGATCGCTCCCAGATGTTTACCTGGCACCAGTATCAAGGGCCTGATGTGTTTAAAGGGATGTGCTAATGCTCCTCCTGCACCCTTGGAAGCGACAGCAGAGGCTCCCTCAGCTGACTGTCAGCTGATAATTCTCTCTGAATAATGTCAAATCCCAACATAATTTCCGCCTTCCCCAATGAATTTCCTGTCTTCCTGATAAATCCCAGAGGCATCGGCCCCATCTCAGCAGGGCACTTGCCCCACTTTAGCACACGTCCAAGTGCTGTGTTGCATGAGGATATTGAGAGTGGCAAATGGATGGACACCTGAAATCTATGATGTCCATCGATGAGAGCTTTCTGAAACTTCAGCATCTTTCTGCTGCTTCCAATTAGTCTGGCTCTTTGATCCCCAGCCCTCTCTGATCATCCTTCCTTTGGATGCTCAGCACTCCCCACCTCGAGCCAAAGCAGAGGAAGGGACCTGCACTCCCTGAGTGAAATGAAGGTAGTGCCAAAGTGACCTAATTTTAGAGGCTGCTAGTATCACGAACGGGATACAGGGAAGAATATCCCGAGGAATAATGCACCATCTGTTGCATTATTGGGTTTGGCTTGCTCACGGAACCAGACGCGTTGGCTTCATTGCGAAGCCGTGAGCGGGGCAGCTCCTCTGGGCTGTCAGATGTTACAGCTGACTTTCCTTCGAGCTGCCCTTTCTGTAAGTTCAGTGTTTGCCTTAAATGGGTGGTGGATACGGGCTCCTATTTAGCAAAGGGCACCCGGCCAAATGAAGGGGTACAACTGCAGCATGTATTAGCTGTCTGTTCCTGCCTGCTCTACCTACAGGGCAGGCTGCAGTTCAAACTGCTTGCGCTAAATGGCCGCATTGTGAGCGGCTGTGGCAGAGCATCTATTTTTAAACGCTTAGGGAAGTGCCTCAAAGTAGGAATTGTTCCCTGGATTTGGGTCAGACTGCCTACAAAAGCAACTGCTCGTGTTGCCTCCCCCTGTCCCTCTGTAGCTGGGTTAGAAAGCTGCTTGCGGGGGGAAGAGATTGGCAACGAGCAGGGCTGAGAAGAGGATGAGGTTAAAGCAATATTTGTCCCTATGCCACCAAACGTCCCGTCTTTCAGGTGTGCCTGGAGCTGGGGACAAGGCGTGTGTGTGTGTGTGTTCGACTTGCTCTGCAGAGCAGCGGATAATGAGAAGCCGGTGCCTAAACTAAATGAGCAAATTGCATTCCTGCATTGTTCTACCCAGGGAAAGGCTTTACTGCTCCTCCCGGAGAGAGACTGAGGGCAGCTGGTTTTCATCTGCCTTAATACAGTACAAGAAGGCTCAAATGGGGACTTTATCTCCTTGATGTTGACAGCCAACAGGTTTTCAGGAGTTCTTACTGTTCTCAGTGTCATTTTTAATGTAAAGCACCTTGTGTTTGCTACTGCCACCCTGGGTTTGGGGAACAGGGGTTTGGGACTTCATGCTTGAGTGCAGCTTTTGAGCTGGGAGCTGGAAGGCTGTTTCCCTGCCTTGGATGGTTTCCAGCTCATCCAGTCTCCATGAGTCTAAATCCCCTGTCACTGGGCTGAAGCTCCTGGAATAATTCCTGTTGATCTGGGGTTTGTTCCTATGTAGGAGTGCTTTTTGTGTGTCTTGTAACAGTGGTGTCAAAAACAGATCCTCACCCAGTGTTGAGGACAGGGATGGGGAAGATAAGAAGAGAGACGATGTGCTTGCACCTTCTGTATGGATGCATATTGTCCAGACAGATTGATTCTCCTTTAGTGGCTCTTAGATTCCGCCTAAGGAGCATTAGATGCTGCAGAGCAATACAGCAGCACATGTTTCCTTCCCTGAATAGATCATGATCTAAATAAAACCAGCCAAAACACACAGGGCTCATTAGATGGAGGAGTCAGGGTGGGGAGAGAAGAAGGGAGTTTGGAAATGGCAGGTGGAGCCGGGAGCACCATGGAGCAAGGGAAGGGGATTAAAGGAAGCCGTTCAAACCTGGCAATGACCAAATCAGGACCATCTCTCCAAGCTCTCAGTGCTGACAGCTACAGAGCATGCATGGGATCTCCAGGCTGGGGTTGGATGGGTGCTTTGGCTTCTCTCCTAGCCTGCCATAATTCATATTGCTGGCCATGCTCCCACCCGCTGTGAAGCGATGCGTCAGCGAGAACACCCCAGTGCGTCAGTGGCCAGCAGGGATTTTGGTGCTCGATGTTACGGTGACATTTCACATAAACAGCCGCTTTCACAGGGTCTGGCAGCTGCTCTGCTGGAGTCTATTAGCAGAAATAGCTCTTGCTGATGTCTGACCCCTGCGATCCGGCCTGCTGGGAAGTATAGTTTCCCTTTGGTTCGTGTTCATTCTCCGCTCTAACAGCTATATAGGCAAATAGGCTTAAATGCTTCCCACCTGAAGGAGGTGGGGTTGTTCAGAGCTGCTGGTGCTGCTGGCTGACACCTGCACTCCTGGTGTCTATGGTGGAGAAGGCACCCACTGCAGCGCCTGGACAATGCTTGCTCCCAGCACAACATCAGTGGGTTGCCTGGTGTAATAAACTGAGTTCCCATCACTTACAGTGTTGTCAGGTCTTTCTGTCACTGGGGTGAACAGTAATTGCTTACACTGTAAGCGCTACTCTTTTCCAAGCAAAAAGACAGGTTGTGTGGCTTTATTGCTGGGGGTCATATGCAGCAAGTTTCTCTGGCATAAATCTGCCTGTTTCTCCCCAAAATCCAGATCTGTGCTGAACTGCAGGAGACCCTGCAAGAAAACCTACCACCATCTCCTTCTTCATAGAGGAGGAGACATGAATCCTGCCCTGCATTGGATCCTTCATCTGGGATGCGTGCTGCTCCTGGCAAAGGCAGCTGAATGCTTTATCCTGCCAAACTCAAGTCACCTGGAGAGCATTCTGAGTAAATACCAGGAGGGGGAATTTAACTCCAGATCCAAGAGAGCCATTTTATTCTCTGACAGACAGGAGATACTGATGCTCCATAATAAGCTGAGAGGTCAGGTGTACCCAGTGGCCTCTAATATGGAATACATGGTGAGTCCAGCTCCTGATATCTATCTTTATTATAACACCTTTTTAAGCTTTATTCTAATTTTCCTTGCACAAAAATCAGAAGCAAATTTCCTCTAAAATGTAGATTTCTATTTTTTTTTTGTAGCAAATTTCCCCTGGAGTAAGTTTTTCTCATGAGGTTTCCTAAAGCAGTTTCATTCCAGAGTGAACTATGCTTTAGATCATTGGACTGTTTTGGTTGGAAAGGACCACTAATGGGTCACCAAGTCCATCCGCTGCATAGTTTCAGGACTGGTTCCATTATTCAGAAACTAGAGTCTGGCTCAACCCTGGATGCATCTCCAGTGATGGCAATTCCACAGCCTGCCTCAGCAGGTTCTTCCATTACCTTAATGTCATAAAAGCATCAAATTTTCCCTAGTGTTTAACCCACATTCTCCCTGTGAAAGCTTTCAGACTGTTGTGACTGCTGTTTCAGGACACCACAGTCTGCTCAGAGAACCTTCTGATGGTCTTTGGGTTGCCATCAGGTGCCACCCAACGCTGGAGGCAGCATCTCCCTTTTTCATACACTGATCAAGGAGGTTATCACTGTGGTCCGAACATCCATGATGTTGCTGGGAACCTGCTCAGGACCTTAGAGAAGCAGGGCTTGAGGAATGTGGCTCCATCTGTAGTGAGTGTGAGGCACTGGAAATAGCTGGAAAGACTTTGGGTGTTCGTGGGTGGATGGGTCAGTGCTATTGGCTTTTTGTAGTTCAGGAAACAGAAATAAAAGTTTGCTCAGTGTATTCTCCCACTTCAGAGGGAGAACTTAAAAGTGTGAGTATGAAATACGTCTTTACCATCAATAATCCAGATGAATAGGTTTTTTTCACCTGATGCCAGGGACCCTACTTTGAGCTATTTTTGACACGCCATCAAAATATTGTGGGGCCAGAAAATGATGTAGGCAAATAAAATCATTTTGTGTGCCTTTTCCCAATGTGCAAATATAGTTATGACCGAAACTAGTCTGACTTCAACTGTGTTCTCCTGCTGACAGATTAAATGATTAATGATTTGTTAAGACCATGTTTAAAAGGGTAAAAGTAAAGTACACTAAATGTGATATAAAATCGTTTGCCAGCTGTGCTGGAATGACTGCTGCAAATGGAAAATCCTGCCTTTTGTGACTGTAGGGAAAAAGGGAAAGAGAAGGGAGGGCAGCTAATGGTGAGGAAGGACATCCCTCCATCAGTTGGTCCCCAAGAGCATTCACACCGTTGGTCTTCCATCCCACTGTTGTCAGAAACCAAATGCCTTTCGAAGAACCAGTGCTTTGTTTCTCTCTTTTCCAGCTCTCACACTAAACCTGCAGGCAAGGTACTGCCAGAGAAGAGGTGACTGGATTAACTTCCAGAGGGTAAACACAAAGCATGAGAAAGCCAAATGTGTTTGGGTTGGCTTTGAGGATCGGAGAGGGCTGCCATTGCGGACTGTCCAACCACTGTTTACACTTGCAGCGTGGTTGCACTTTCATATTTGCCTTTGCTCAGTGTGCTTTTCTAGTGGTTTTTATGGGCGATTGAGGGTAAATGAAAGGGCCTTATATGCTGTGAAGAAAGAAGCTGAGTATGAGATGGTGCTACTTGGAAAGGCTATAATCAGCCTTTCATGTATTCGTGTTTACCCAATATTACTTGAAAATGCTGTGTGTATTCTGAATGTGAATTTCACTTTAATCCTTTGTTCTGCATAGGACATTTCTCATTTGGACTCATTTAAGAGGCTGGTTTGTCTTTAGCGCCACAGATACACTTTTCTCTTTTCCTTTGGTGCCTGTGAGGAGCGTCACAGGCGACGTGCAGTGGTAATTTGTGGATAAGTAGGTAGAACTTGTTCTTCCTATCAACCTCCAAACACTGCCTTGTGAAAGTCCTTTCACCCAGCTCCATATCTGACATATTTAAGTGATCTGAAATGGCAAGGGGAGCTAATGTATTCCATGCAAGAAATATCTACTACAGGATGAACTTTATTGGCGGAGACTGTTAATAAGAAAGCAATAACAGTGATTTCCATGACTTATCTGGAGATAAAAAGAATTATAAACATACGGGGTAAAGGTAAAGCAGACTGAAGAAATGAAGAAAGAAAAGTTTTGCTGCTGGGATTGTAAAAGTAATTGAAAGCTAGCACAGGTATTCAGTGTTAATGGAAAATGAGTGAGCAGTGCACATCTTGCTGATGAAATTGATCAAATAGAGAATTACCTTAACCCCTCTAACAGCTTTCTGATCGACATTTCCGCTGTGTACTGTACTTTATAACAGCAGTCCCAGCAGTGGATCAGTGCCAGGACCAAAACAAACTCCTTGTTAATGAGCATGGAGTAAAAAGAACATAATAGTTCCTAAGACATCTTGACCTTTTAAGATGGCTTAGCCAGATGGCTTTCAGCAGTGATGAAAGGCAGAAATCTTGCAGAGGCCCCAAAGACATCTGGATAAAACAAAATTGTTCTCGTTACAGATTGCTGGAAGGAAAATAGTTTGTTTTCATGTATAAGGTATGCATCCTTCCTCTAAAGTGTAGGGTGGTGGCTTTCCCTGTCAGGATGGGATAGTATTTCTGTGTGGGTTAACGAAGCATATCCAAGCTTCTGCCAGTACATGTGAGCCCTGGACTCTCATGCCACTTTTAAATATCAATTGCCAGTATTGCAAAAAGTCTAAAATGATGATAAAAATGAGCAACCTGATCACTGCAAATCATGTATCTGAGGCTGGATTTACTGACTGGTTAGGCTGAGTAAGTAGACTCCTTGTGGGATATACTCTTATTTAATTTGAACCTACAAATTGTAGTATAGTGTGTGTATGCCACACGTGTATTTTACATGTACAGTGTATGCTGTGCTTCGAAAGGCCATTACAAATGGAGTAAAAAAAGAGTCAGTGTGCTAAATCACTTGGAATCACACATACACAAAGGCTTTTCAATCTCTGCTTGGGAAGGAAATTGAGCATAGGTGTGCACTGGCCCTCTGGCTTCACTAGTTTTCCTAGACACTGCTTTGAATACTGGCATAAAGTGTTCTTGAAAGCATAGCTGGGAAAGTCTGAAATCTCTCCTTTTTGTTGTTTCATATGTTTATTGCTCTGAAATAATTCCAGCCTCCTGACCGCATTCACATCTGAGAACCAAGAGGCAAATAACTGTTCTGATTTAAATGGGATGTCTTTGTAATCTGATGCCTGCAGAAATGAGCTTCTGTACGCATCAAGCACAAAGCCATTCAAAGATGTAGCTCGTTTCCAATTACCTGTGGAGTATCTTTTGTCCGAGTTCATTTATTTTACCCATAGGCATCAAAGGAAAACTTAAGACATGTTCACATCAATTTCCATTTAATCGCCTATTGATAACATCATCTCTGCATTAAATTAGGAGATTTGAAATACCTCCACTTTTGAGGCTTCAGGGAACAACGCTCTGCTAGGAAGTCTCGAGTACTAGCAGCACATAACATCTTGGGAGAGTTTCTGTGGCTTATGTGTTGGATGGGAAGGCAGATTGTGGCTGGTCATTGCCTAGCGCAGAAAGTGGGAGACCACAAAAAGCTGTGTGTCTAGGCACAATTGCAACAGTCTGCTTGAAGAGAGGTTTGGAAACGTGTGTGTGGTGGGTCAGATCCCATTCACGTTCAAGGAGCAGGAGGGCTGAGACAGAAAATGGTTTTATTTCCACTGTCAGAGGTGTGTCCGCACGGGGTTTTTCGGACTGACATGGATTTGCTTGGTCACTGGTCAGCTCAAAGCCAAGCTGATGAGCTCAGAGAAGCCCTGGGATGTTGTTGGAATCTGGGTTGCCAAACGTGCTTAATGATAAGCTGTTCTCAGAGGTCTGGGCTGTTAGCTCAGTTACATGAGCTCATGTTTGCCTCACGAAGATAGTGTAGACACACCAAGTTCCAGGAGACACTGCGTTTTCCTGTCATCTTAGCCAGAGATGTGCGGTCCCTCCCCATCCCAGTTATAACTGCCTGAGACTGTGTTCAGATGCTTACTCAGAATGAGCTCTTGATGTTCTTTTAATGTGTTTGAGAGCCTAAATGCCCTCCAGTCCTCCAAATGAGCTCTGACAGGTCCTTTGATATGTTTGAGATCAGAAGTTGCTTTTCTTCTGGAGACGATGGGACTTAGAAAGTCCAGCTGGTTGTGATGGTAAAAGTCCAACAAGTACATAATCTTGTGCTGGCACATGAGTGGGATGGAGGCACGTTACAAGACCTCTCTTCTTTTTCGGTTTTATTTGTAGGAATGTGCGGTAATATTTTAATCCCGACAAATTGTCCTCTAAGGAGTGTTCTGAATAGACCAGCTGTCAGTAATTACACAATGAATCTAGGGCACTGTCTACTGGATCCAACAAAGTCTGGCCTTTAAAACAAATATACTCCTGGGCAGTGGAACCAGCGAAGCCTGCTTTCCTGTTTGCCTTTGTATTGTGTTTGAGCTCTTATTTGGCTTACAGCTAAGTGATACTCAGGGAGGACTCTTCTAATAGCTATGTCCTTCCCTCAGTGGGAACATAAACAGGATCCATCACTGCTGACCTGATGCCTGTGTCAGTGAGGGTGATGTTCGCTTAACAGCTCTGGGACTTTGCCACCTCTGTTAGAATTGACTCGATCCATCGGTGGACTCAGTAGTTATTTTGGAAGGAGAGGTCGAGTGGGACACCCCTTGATTAAGAAGTTGGGTCAAAAATCTCCAGCTGTGTTGGTAGAGGAGGGCAGGAGCACATCCACTGTTGGAGTTCCCCTTGATGGCAAAGCCTGGAAATGTCCTAATTGTAAGAACAATGGATGGAAAATGGTGCAGAACTCCATCATAGCACTGACTGCATGTTAGAATTCCTACAGATCTCAGAAATAGGTGTCATGAGGGAGTCCTGGGGTCTCCATCCTTGATGGTTTGTTTTGGGATTATTTTAAGGAGATTAGAAAAACACCTGTCAATAATATCTTGTGTTTTAGCATGGATAGTCTAGATGGGTTCTTCCAGGTGTGTTATCTGCTGATCTATGCAAAGCAAGTACTAAGAAGCACAGCAACAAGCAGGAAAAATAATAGACCTTTTAGTGCCCTGCATTTCCATGGCATCTTGAGAAACTTGCTTTTAGGTTAGGGCACATCACTGAAATGTGTCAGCCTCATAAGGACATGCCAGACACCTGGGGTGAGCTGTAATCTAGTCTTTCTCCTCTAACTGCTGTTTGTTGAGTCTCTTGATCTAAGAAACTTGAGATGATGAATTGACCTGTTCTTTTCTCTCCCCACACCCTGAAGACTTGGGATGATGAACTGGAAAGATCAGCCCAAGCTTGGGCTCAGCAGTGCATCTGGGACCATGGGCCCAGTGCCCTCATCAGGTCAATTGGACAGAACTTGGCAGTTCACTGGGGCAGGTAAGAGTTGGGGTGCTACAAGCTAACTGCAAAGAGCAACTTATGGATCCTCCTTTAACTAAGTTGGGAAACTTTTGCCTTGTTGGTGCTTATTAGAGCACCAGGGAGATGGAAGAAAAGCTGGGGATCACTAATTGCTATTGCTTTGGAGAAATGGTTATACAGATAATATCTGCAGCCAGCATCAGTAAAACAACATTGATGTGGGTTACTCCATTTATTCCTGGGAATACAGCTGTAATGTGCTTAAAGTGAATCTTACTCCTCAAGAACAGCTACATAAGTCATAACCCTTGATCCTATACCTGCTGTTTCAGTAGTCAGGATGGAGGGGGGTCTTGGCACCATGCAGAAAACCTGCTCAAAGCTGAAGCTTCTTAGGAATGATGTCTGCACTCAGCTTAATAATTTCTTATTTTATTTCCCATATTTATCCAGCTCCTGATTTCTCTTTACTGAAAACACTTTGCAGGTTTTTTTGTTTTGTTTTGTTTTTTTTTTAAATTCCAGGGGAAGGTTTTTAACCTGGAATTATTAACCTAGCTAGGAAAGCTGATGTTGTGGCTTCCAAATGGATTTGGCTCTCCAGCTCATGGTGACATTTGCTTATTGTGAATCCCCTATAGTTAAGCTTGCTATAGGTTAATCCTACTTTGTACAGCAAATATTTTTGTACGTGCTCAGCAGCCCTGATGGGTGGAAATGCAGTTATGTTTGCTGTAAATCAGGTGGAACTTGGTTGAAAGCAATGGAAATTTGCTGGTGTGAAATTAGTCTGATACAAAAATCGGGCCTGTTTTTGTTGGCTGAATAAAGTAATGATTGGAAAGTAGAGTGGTTAATCCATTGAAACGGAGTCAAAGATCGTGCTGTCCTTGGCTCTCCTACAAGTGTTCAAGATGGCCATGGGTTACTGATGGAGGTAGATCCAATCTTGCTCCCTTTGCAGTCAACTGAGAGGAAAAAGAAATCAGATTTATCTAATTTTTTTCAGGAACGGGCCATAACTTGATTGCCTCAATTTCCTCTCCTGTAAAATAGGATTCGGAAAGTATTCACTTAATGACATCATGAGATGAATGTTTTTGAAATACTTCTAATGAATGATTTTTAATGAAGAGTTGGCTGAAAGAGCAAGCTCCAGTTGGTAATGATATCATTCGTGTTTCTGGCTGCTTGCTCCATGTGAGCTGTTGAAAGCAATAAAAAGTCGTGGGTTTGAAGCACTGCTCTGCTTTGATACAGACTCTGCAGATCACTCTGCTCACTGTGTACACAAAACACATATGAGTTTCTATAGGTAGTTTTAACACCGTTTGTGTTGCCCCAAACAGCACAAGTAGCATCAGTGCTGCTGGAGGCTGTAATACCTAGTGTGTAGTTTGTAGAAAGCACATGCAGTTTATGCTGGGGCTTAGTGTAGAGGGAAATTGATGCAATAAAAGGTGGGATATTTCTATAGTGCACCACCGCTCGGAGTGATGCGAGTGAGAGAAGCCCACTCGGTTTCAGAGGTCTTTCGGTATTAACTGCCAGCCTACTTCCAGATTTAGCAAATTGCCCAGTAGTAAAATAGGTACACGCTGGCTTTTGGTTTAAGATGTTTGGCAAACCTTTACTTGTGTTTACTCTCAAAATACAACTTTCCGCCAAACTAGAAGTTTTTTGTAGTTGTGTGGAAGAGTGAGGAGGACATTTCAGGTCACTTGAAGAGCATGTCAAACCTATAAATAATACAGAAAGTCAGGCCAGGCTGTGAATCTGAGGGGAAAAAAATAAAACAGTTTTAATGTTTTTCAATGAGATTTTTTTTTTCCTGTTCATTAGACTGGGTTCTTTAAGCACCTTCTCAATGAATGGAACTTGCCTTAACTTTAATATAAAAATTAGGTAATTGTATAAAAAAGAAATCTGGGCTTACAATATGGCTGTCATTTGAAAACTTCAACCAGAACTTTATGATTTATACTGCATTTGCTCCTTCAGGTACCGTTCTCCAGCTTTCCATGTCCAGTCTTGGTATGATGAAGTTAAAGATTACACATACCCGTATCCTCACGAGTGCAATCCATGGTGCCCAGACAAATGTACTGGCGCTATGTGCACGCATTACACCCAGGTAAAGGAGACAAATGGCTTTTGTACCTCTACTTTCTACATCCCCCCGTGTCCCTGCTGTCACTGCAACGTGTGTCCACAGTGGGATAGTTTGCTTATCTCCCATAACTGCGTTACACTTGCAGATAGTCTGGGCCACGACGAACAAGATTGGCTGTGCTGTGAATGTCTGCAAGCAGATGAATGTCTGGGGAGAAATATGGGAGAATGCTGTCTACCTGGTCTGCAACTACTCACCAAAGTAAGGCAGATGAGCTGGGCTCTCTCCAGCTTTCCTAAAACTGGCAGGTTGCTTAACTAGCCCAGGGTCTGTGGAAGAGATTTGAGGCAGTCTAGACTGGTGGTTGTGGCTTTAAATTTTCTCTTTAGACTGCAGCACAGAGCTGGTTCAAGACTTCCGAGCATTGCCTGGAAAACTAAATGAGGGGCTGGGGCCAGGCTGGAGCTTTGATGTTCCTGCCATGGGAAGGAGGTGAAGGAGATGGCCAGGATGGAACTGGTGTGCACTGCCAAGAGAGGCTTGCTCTCTTTGCTGCTGGAGGCTGGGAGGGGATAGGGTGGTGATTAACATTGCTCCAGCAGCAGCTTCTGGGCCCGGCCAGGTAGGCTGCTGTATCATAACACATTTTTCCACCTCCCCATGCAACAGCTCCTGGTTTAAACATGCCACTGCTTCATGCAAAGGCAGCCCTGCAGTAGTCACTGGTGGAAGCTGGGGCCCGTTGCAAGGAGCTGCAATGAGTTAAATCCCAAACCTGGATGAGCTCCCTGTGGCTTAGAAGAAGGGAAAAAAAAAAAAAAAAAAGGAAAAAAGGTGAAATAACTGCATCAGTCAGGATTTAGCAAGCTTGATGGATTGGTTTGACTTCAAAATGAAAATCACAGTTCCTGACTACTGTGTCCAGAAGTGTCCTACCTGGCAATGGCAATCAATATTTTCTGCTTTAATGGCTAACAGAAGAAACATTCCCATTCCAAGTCCTTGGCAACTTAAAAAGTAGGAGATCACCATATACGAGTGGAGTGGCTTGGAGAGCATCTGACTTCTGGAGATCAGAATAATGCAGAGGAAAAAGGTGTGTAGGCATGGAGATGGCAGCTCATAGTGTGATCCAGGCAGAGCTATCTGCATGGGCTGCCTAAGCCCCTCTCCCCATGTCAGATACCAAGCACATTATTCATCTGGTTTGGTGGGATTTAATAACCTGTATTTCATAAGGGATCATGTCATCTCCCACGGAACTCCTGCAGCAGGCTGGGCTATTTGCACATCATCCGTTTGGGGATGCTGGATGGAAAAATACTCTATTTCCTCAGCTTCTGCTTAATCTTTTCTCTCTGGCATTGGTGAGCATTGTCCTCATCTAGCCTTATAGGTGGAGACAGCTGAAAGAGCAATAACCCAAGGGTTCATAGCCATGGGCTGAACTCCGGCTCCTTCAACCTTCTCAGCCCCTAAAGTCTGCTGTACAGAGCACTAAAAAAGTGCTTTTGTTTCTGGGTAGTTTCTTGAGGAAGATGCAGTAACCCATTGATATACCTCTGTTTACATAAGATCACAGCGTTTATACTGGAGTTTAATGTAAAAGTGATATTGCATGCAATTTATTTAAGTAACCCTAAAAATGTCATCCTGGGGGTGAAATGAGGAGGAACGCTTTTCTTACAAGGGCTGGTTGTTCAGTCTTTGCTTAGCTGCTCTGGGCCAGGATGGTGTTACTGCACTCTCAGAGGGAAAACTGGAGACTTAAGGATGTCCGGGTTGGGTGAGGAAGGAGTGCAAAGTGGTTCTCTGCTTCCCAGATGATCTGGTGTGAGCGTCCATGTATATTTGGTCATTTTCTGCTTGGAAATGGTTCCGGATGGATAATAGAGCAGCTTCTAAATGGTAAGAGCTGTACTCCAGCCTGTACCATGAAGCTGCCTGGGGGTGCTGCAGAAAATGGTGTGAAGTTTGTGGTTCTGATGAGCAGAAGACAAGTGTCAGGCCAATGGGAGGCAGCAGGGAGACAGCCGCTGAGTTATTGCTGGAGAACAACAGGCAATGCAGGATGGGAAGAATGGGGACAAGCTGTCTTTCCCCATTTACAGCCCCCTGTCCAAGGATGAGCACAGAAGAAACACCCATTTTATCCACTCCTTTAGTGCCAGGCAGGCTCAGGGGCTTGGCTGGGTATTTAGGTGTCTGATGGGAATGCATTGCTCCTGTACTTCCAGGGGGAACTGGATTGGAGAAGCCCCATACAAGACTGGCCGCCCCTGCTCTGAGTGCCCACCGAGCTATGGAGGAGGCTGCCAGAACAACCTCTGCTACAAAGGTATGTGCTGGGGAGCTTGGCGGAAAAGGCTGGAGCAAACTTAGGTCTGGAAACACTTAATTAGAAGCAGCCATAGCCTTGTGCACCTTTTAATTAGCCATCCTTAATATTTCAACATCACGACACGTGGTGCTGCTGAAACCAAACCCCTGAACTGCTCAAGATCTGGAGCTGGGAATCGGTGCGTTTGTCCTATGAAAATGAGAGCGAGGGCTTGGATGAGGGGGAAGCTGCTCTGAGCTTACATAGGTTTGGCTCGAGAGCTCAGGCGGGATTTTGAGTGCTGGCAGGCTGCGGGTAGGAGCGATCCCGTCCTCGCGGGGTTTGTTTGGGAAGGGAATGTTCTCCAGCGCTTACCAGAGGCGATGTGGGTGGGCAGAGCTTGGCTGCCTCCCCTGCTCCTTCGGGGGCCAGGGACAGAGCGTTTTCCCTCTCTCCCCACCTTGGTTTTCATGGCTGTAAAATGAATACAGCAATTCCTGTCTCTTGGAGGAGAGGACGGGATCGTGGACGGTTTTTCCTGACCTGTGGAGTTTTCTCGGAACAGAGGTCAATAGAGAGAAAAATATTAACCCTGAAGCCTCCAGTGAAGCAGTGCTATCCCCACAACAGGCAGGATTTCCTGGGGTCATGCACTGAGGGCCATTTTCTTTTCCCGTGTCTTTTGCTTCACAGACAGCTGGGCTCTGGGAAGGAGGCAGGCCCTCCATAGACCTGCCCAAAGCAAAGCCTTATTTTTCTGCCAAATTACCTTCATTTTTAGCCTTTGGGGTTTGGAGGGAGGACCCCAGGGTGCAGCAGGGAGGGGGGAACAGGGTGCCCTGGTGGTACAGCAAGAGGGAGAAAGCCCTCTTGGAGCCATCATCCATCATCCCCCCCATTTGCATTGTTCCTCCCCATTGCTGTGAATAGTGCATGGTTTTGGGTAGGACTGGCCCAGCAGGATGAATTTTGCTGGCACTGTTTCCCAAATCCCTCTGCCTGGCTGCAACAGCAGGGGCTTGTTCTCTGGTAAAATGAGGGATAAATCCGCTGCAGGCACTAAAGCTGGGATCACGCTGTGTCAGGACCCATGCTTTACTTGAGGATCATCTGAATCCATGCTCATGGGGTGCTTTGGAGAAGCAAACCCTGATGGGAGGATAAAAAGCTTCAGCCACCTTCCCAAATAGTAGAGCCTCTTTTTGCATGCACCCATCGGCAAATCTGTGTTTCCCTACAGAGAGAAGGAGCTGTCTGTGAAGCAGAAGAAACAGCAGCACTTTCTTTACTAGTTAGTGGAGATCATTTCAAACCCTCACTGTAAGATGCTATAAATGCTGCTTCATGCACAGAGGAGCAATCTCCGCTCCAAGTGCTGCACCTGCCCTGTCAATAGCCCCGTGCTGCATTTAACTGGCGTTTTTGAGCTTCCAATTGTTTAAAAGCAGATCGTCGTTAAACTAAATCGCCTCCCTCACAACAGGGACATGTCAGACTTCCCCATCAATGTGAACACACTGTAACTCTTATTTTAATCCCCCCTTCTCACCAGATTACCGTTACGAGGATCCCATCATCACCGAGACGGATGAGACAAACGAAGTGGAGATTTCCCAGGTTGCGGAGCAGAAGCCGGTGCGGTTCAACCTTCCAGAAAGCAAGGCCAACAAACCTACCAAGCCCAAGAAGGTCATCCCAGAGTCCTACATGAGTAAGACAGCCTCTCTTTTCATCAGCTCTGACATACCTCTATGAGTAGAGGTGTAGAAAGTCATGCGGACTTTGGGCAACATGGTCTAGTGTGAGGTGTCCCTGCCCATGGCAGGGGGGTTGGAACTGGATGATCTTAAGGTCTTTTCCAACCCAAACCATTCTGTGATTCTATGATTCAATGAGCAGGCTCAGGGAAAATTAAATAAGAGGATGTTTGAGGGGAGGGGAAGGAGTTCTATGTGAAAATTCAGTCTTCATTGTAGCAGAAGCCTTCCAGAAACAGGAGGCAAAGCTTTCAAGAGCTACTTGTGCCTTCTGCATATAATCTGCAATAGTTATTTGTTCTGTTAAGCCATCTTGAGGAGATATCAATGAAGCAAAGGTTCTCCCATCCGTAATCAATTTAGGACATACTGGTTTTATTTCCCATTTACAATACTTCACTACTACAGCTACACCCATTGCAGCTTTTCTGTTTTTTTTTTTGTTTTGTTTCCCTTTTATTTCTTACTTGGGAAGATTTCTGAAGTTATCTGGTAGTACTTCCTCACTTGTTTTATACCTGCTGTTAATTAAAACAGGCTTATTGTAAAAACAAGGTGAGGCAAGCCAATGCATCCTTTTCAAGTCTATCTTCCGGCATCTCAGGAGTCTGTAATTAAACAGAGAGTATGAGAGCTCTGGCTTGCAGACCTCAGGCTGTAAATCAAAGCCTTCAGCTGTCAGGTGTTTCTTCCTTGTTAATATTTCCAAAGTCACCTGTCTCAGGTGAAGGCCTAAAGAGGCACGAAATGCTCCAGGCTGGGTTGTTCCATGCTAAGGTTTTACTGTGCTGCATCAAAGACCTCCAGGGAAGATTCGTGGTGATTGCTCGTCTCCGTAGCTTGAGAGCAGCCTCTTTGCTTTCTAAATGACTTATGTACTTTGTGTTTTCTCCTCAGCACAAGTCATAACGTGTGAGACCAAGATGAGAGACAAATGCAGAGGCTCAACATGTAACAGGTAGGGTTTTATTGATACATCTTGGAGTGATACAGGAAAAAGTGGCTTAAAAATTGCCCAGCTTTTTTGCAAACATAGGATACGTAATATTTTTGTGACTATCTAGGTAGATCTCTTAAAAAATACAGCCTTCAGCCAAGCCTAGCAATAAGGTGACTCAGTTTTTTACTCAGCCACGATGACCCACAGTTTCAGGTATCCAAAATCATTTAATGAATTTTGGCAGTGTCTCTTTTTGAGCCTTTTTCATGCATTCCACCGCTGTCCAAGCCAGACCCATAATTCATGGCTTGTCCCCTCCCAGCCAGTCAAGAACTTCTGGTTAAGGTTTCTGCAAAGAACAGGACAGTTTATCACTTGGAGAAAACCCAAATCCACAGAATCTAAATATTGGTCAGGATTTTAAGGAGGGTGGAGAAACTGTTTTAAAAAGTAGCTATTTTGCAATCTTGTTTTTAAATGGAAGAGTTACGTGAAATGAATGGAATGACTATTAAATAAAATAGAGTCAAAGTCTGTTTTTCTTGAATTGTTTTTTTGCCACCCTCAAAGATATATATCTTTACTAGGTATTTGTGCCCAGCTGGCTGCTTGTACAGTAAGGGAAAGATCTTTGGAACATTTTATTATGAAAGTGTAAGTACCTTATAATAGCTCATAGATGTAATTTGTGAGGAGTTAGTGGTAATAACAGAAATGGGAAATGCCAACAATTCTAGTATAATTTGGCTTTTCGTATTCTCCAATTGTGCTGTAAAATGGTGCTAATAAAGATTATCTGTGTTTTCCTCATCTTAGCAATGAAAAAAAGAGCATTCTGGAAAGGCAAAGTGATTCCAGACGTGATTTTGTGCCCTTAATTTGCAATGAAACCCATGAAAAGTGAGGGATGGGGATCAATAGACAGCTCTTACAAAGATCTCTTCTTTAGTGTGGGCAGCTGTCATGCTGAACAGAAACTTTATACGAAAAACACCACTAAATGTTGTAACTAAATAATATTTTGGGCAGATTTCTTGGATCTTGAATTAGCAGGATAATTTATAAATAAAGCATGGCACTGTTTTCCCATCAAAACTACTTTTGGGGTGAAGATAAAAGGGGGTTTGTGTAAAAGCATGTTTGCTTTCCCCATTCTCGCTGTTAGTGCATGACTGCATCGCCCATGATACATCTTTGCCCTGAAACTTCTGTGATTGCAGACAGCCACCTCATCCAAGTGGTTTCAGCATAAATATTTTGGGTTTGAATATTTTCTTGAGAGATGGAAATATTTCATACTGGTCACTTATTTCCAATGCTGCTTTTCTTCTAAATTGTATCTAAATGTCAGGTTTTGTTATTCAAAAAAAGCTTGCCATTCAACCAGGCAGTGCTTAAAATAATAGTAATAATAAAAAAAGAATAAGGCTGTGTTGGGAGAGTAAGATTTAATGACCAGATTCCAAAGGGCTGTACTCAGCTTATTTTCCATTTGGCACTTTGGTGGTGGTTTCATTTCTTCTTCATCTTTTTTGCACAGCGGTTGGTCAGCGTTTCTCTGTGAATGAGATTAATTCACATACTGTTTGCGTTTATGCTCTTGTCAGTCATCAAGCATCTGTCGTGCTGCAATTCATTATGGCATCTTGGATAATAAAGGAGGGCTGGTTGATATCACGAGGAAAGGGAGGACACCGGCGTTTGTGAAGTCTACCCGGAATGGCGTGGAGTCATTTAGGTACTACCTTCACGAAAAAGCTTTTGTATTTGCTTTAAATATAAGCAGATGTTCAGTCATCTTTTTACTCAAATGTAGACACAGTGATCAAGTAATTCTGGTATGCTTATGTTTTTAATAAATGTCTGTCTTTGTTTGCTTGTTTTTCAGGAAAAGCAAGCCTTCGAATGCGTTCATGGTTTCCAAAGTCACAAGTAAGTTTGAATTGTTGATAACAAACCTTTGCTGCTAGAGTTTTAGGGGATACTTAAAAACATTACTCCTTACAGTGCTCTTTTTCATTTTAAGTGGTCATGTCAAATGGTTCAGCACCAAAACTAATACATAGACTGATGATCCATCACAGAGTGTAGGCAATTCCACCATCAACCACATCATTTATCGGTAGGGATCTCGGAGGAAAGTACAGAAAAAGGTGCTAATGGGTCATTTCCAACAGCATCTCCTGGTGATGGGTCACAATTGGTCCAAATATCAGCTGCAGTGTCACAGGCTGCTGATAGTAAAATGATGGAAGATGGTGCATCCTTGTGTGAAAGCTTCAGCCTAGTGTGAGCACTCTAGAAACTGCAAAAGATAGTACCCACTACAGTGCAGTAGTATAATGAAACACATAATACATATGCAATTAGTTTATAACAGTGAGTCATCATATTTATGATAAACATAAACAAATACTGTGGAGTTCTACTTTTTAAACAATTCCTGCTCTCTGAATATCTTTGACTAATGCCTCTTCCTCCTATATACAAACATCACTTTGATTAGATTCACTTGAGCCACTCTCAGGGAAAACTGTAGCTGTTGGGTCATTTGAACTCTGTCTGGAACTGTAGCTAAAATACACTGTCCTGTGGATCAGCTGCTTTTCCCTTTTGAAAACTGTGACCTTTTTAAGGCCACATTGTAGTATGGTAGCAGGATTTCTGCTGGAGAGCTGGTCAGCCCTCTCCTGGATGCATGCCACTGGTAGAGGAGCGATCAGCTTTCCTCCTGGTGCCCTCAGCTGGACATGGGTCTCACCAGCTGTGTTGCGTGACTGACTTGTGTTTTCTGCAGATGTCTGAGCTATTTATTAGGTCTAGTGATTTGCCTTTCCATATTTATCCCTGCAGCACAGACGCTGGATTGCTACACTACCGTAGCTGAGCTGTGCCAGTTCAAAAAGCCGGCAACCCATTGCCCAAGGTAACACAAGGCCACTTATGTTCTGCTTAAACCTGCTCTGCTATGATGAGGGACAGCTGAATGGAGGGTGCTGCAGTCCCCAGATCTGAGGGCTAGTGGGAATGGAGCTGGTTTCACCATGAACTGGAGGAGTGGGTTGGGAATGGTGTGTTTCCTCCTGCCACTGCGCTTTTCTTAGCACCAGAATAGAAAATTCACATTAAGTTTTCAGACCTTTTCATTAACATGTAAGTCGGGCTAAGAGATCCTATTTCAGCACACCCCTATGCATGAGCATGCCGCTTAGCACTCTGTCTTTGTTCACCACCACTTCCTGGTTCTTGGATTTGGCTTTGCTTTCTGCTTTAGAATATGGAAAATGTTTGTTCTAGAAAGCTGCTTTGTGCAGGTGTAAGTAGTGAGCACAAACGCATGCAAATAATTACACATACAACATTGTGCAAAAAGATAAGTACTCCCCTTTGAAAATGTCATAAAAGGCCGACCCTTCTTTTACTGGTCTAAACCCCTGTATTTGGAGTTCTGCAGTAAGTACCAAATGTCATCTCAGGGGAACAAATAATTAAATTCACTGTTGCCACCTGCAGACCAGATGCAGGCACTTGAAACCTCCCAAGAATGCAGCTTGCTTTCCTGTTGAGCCTTGATATAGTGAATAAGTATGAATAAATTGTTTTCTAGGATTTATTGCCCAGCCCACTGTAAGGACGAGCCATCGTACTGGGCACCGGTGTTTGGCACAAACGTTTATGCAGATGTGAGTATGCTCCTTGCCCTGATGCCCCTGTGTATCGCGGTGTATTGCAGAGCCAGAGTCATGCTGTGACTTAGGGAACAAAACCAAACTCTCTGTGGTCATTGCAATGTGGGGATACACCAACAGCTACACCACCAGGCTGAGGTCAATGGGCTTGGGCAGCCCTTCCACTCTTCAACACTGACTTATTCTTAAGGACTTGGGCAAGTCACTTGACTGCTCTGCACCTTGAGGGCTATGGCTATGAAACCAAGGTAGTGCTTGTCCACCTTTGCAAAGTGTTTTGGGATCTACAGATGAGCACTAAAGGGCTTTTATTATATACTACCACATTATGTTACTTGGCAAAAATAGGCCTCCTTCCACCTCCCCTATCCTCTTTCTGGGAGCTGAACAGCGTTTTTGAGCAGTGGGGATGCAGCACAGATCAGTGGAAAGAAAGCATGCGAGTTGGTTTTATTGGTTTGTTTTTCTAAGCTCTGCTTGTGGGGATGAGCAGAGACTTGATGCTAAAACTGGGCAAAGAGTAAGTTTTTTGAAATCTCTTAATATTAGGCCTCCAAAAACTGGGTTTCGACATTTTTCCAATTCTGGGTGCCTCTTTTTATTTTGTTTTACCCTTTTTTCTTTCTTTCTTCAGTGGAAATTGTGTTTAGAAATCCAGCTCCTAGGCTCGTGGGTAGCCTGTAGGAACATGCTTTTTGAAGGCCTGGGGGAAGCAGCTGGCAGATTGTGGACCCCATCTTCGGGTCACCGTGGAGCTTTGCAGACTCATGAGAAAAGAACATCCTGCAGAAACCAGGCAATAATTTGGAGCAAGCAATTTTAAAAGCAATCTAAAAACCCAAACCAATCTATTTCTTATTTTACTTGAGACCAGTTTCTTTAAAGGTAGAGCTGTACAAACAGGTTAGCCTGGACCAGCTCACATGCAAATTCATCAGGCAGCTGCCACCCTGCGGTACTTGCCTCTGTGCATGCTCAGACATGCAGGAAATGGGAAATAGCTTTCTCTTTTTTACTGAGGACAAAACTACCTCAGATTACCCCCAAACGAACAGGGCCTGTGATTACAAATGTATTAGGCTGAGGACCAGTATCCCAGGCTAACATTGTTTCCTGATTTGTACTGACGCAAAAGGATTAGTGTCCTTCAATGAATCGCAAGCTCCTACCATACCCCCTGGGTACCATTTCATAAACGGGGGCATGGACTGTGATTTGGGAGAAAAGTAAAATAAAAGAAAAAGTATTTGGCCATTTTCTGGAAGGTTAGGTTAACCTTTTTCTGGGCTGCTGTACTAATAGAGTGATGTGGGTGTAATAAGGAGAGCATTTAGGTTTTTATGAGAGTGAATGGTTGGTAGCAAAGCAGGTTAAACCAGCTGGAAAAAAGAGTTTGAAGTGGTTGTGAGACGTGCTGGAAAGGGAGAGGTATTGATGCTGAGAAATGCCCAGGCTGGAAAGCCGAGAGGAGCACACAATGCTGAGCAGGGAGAATTTGGACAAAGTCTGTGCAGGATGCTCTCCAGGAGGGGATGCTGTGAATTAACCTGAGCCTGCTGCTGAGGAATGATTAAAACAGGCAATAAGCTGGATGAGACAAGTGCTAGTCTTCCGAGAGGTCTCTTTGGCTTCATGTGTAGAGTGGCACCTTCATGGCCCTGAAGGGACTTGTGCTCTGACTGTGTCTTGTTACATAAGTTATCCAACAGAAAATGAAGCATTTTGCCCCATTTCCTGCCTGCACTCCCTGCAAGGTGCCCTCTGGCCTTTTAGCACCTTTTCTGAAACGTTGACTTGCTAAATGTTCCTGATAGTCCAAGCTGTGATGACAAAATGCTTTGTCAGTCTCTGTAATTACACGGTGCACTCCACTTTTGGCCTGAGGTAGTGTTCACATTTACGTGATCCCAGGCAGGCATGTGAAACTTTGTTTTGCCATGAAGAACAAAACTATGACATGAAGAATTAGCAGTTTTTGTGGCATAGTTCTGATTTTTATTCACAGGGGCATAGGAGCCTCTATCTTGGTTTGTGTTAAGATTTTTTTTTTACCCATTTTAAATGCATTTTGATCAAGTATTTTTTTACTTATCGTTATAAAAATACCTTGTATTGTGTGTTTATAAGATTAGCTCCTGGGTACTCATGGTGGCTTAAAGCACAAAGATATTGGAAAGCAGTGCAGGAAATTGTTCATGGTGAAATAAGTAAGACTGGAACAGTGGCATAGAGGGATCTTAAATGAGCAAAGTGCAAGGAATTATGCTACAGGAAAAGCTGATGCCCAAATCCAAGGTCTTTCCATTGAATGCCATTATACCTCTTTGAGAACAGAATTGCTGCCTGCATGCAGGGTTTGTAGATTGAAGCAGCATGGGGGGAACATACCCAGGATCACCACAGTGCTGAAATCAGTAGTGAGAAGCAGTGGCTGGGGAACAAAAGGTTTGTTGCCTCTTTTCCCTGGTGGCACATTGCAGCAAAGCTCTTTATGCTGCCATGTAAATGGGAGGGGGGAAATAAAAGCCATAATAATCTATGAACACATGATTTTGCCTAGGAAACAAAACTCAGCTCTTGCTAATGTGGGCAGGACCATTTCTGGGGTGATGCTGGAGCTGTGTCTTGATAAAAGAGTCTTTATCAAGGCTGTAAAAGAGCTTTTAAATTTCACAAGACACTGTTACTTGACACTCTGCCTGGCTCCTAGTGTGCCTTAAGACTGCAAGGGAAACCCATCCCTATTCGCTGCTCAGGAGCCCTGTGGAGCCAGGAGGGAAAACAACTCTCTGCTCTCGAGATAAGGTCTTTTATCCACGTTTGTGCAGCAATTAGTTGGAGGAGGATAGATCACCTACACAAGGCAGACGTTTATCACCAGAGCAAACCAAGTTGGGTGGCTCAGCTCTCAGGAGGTATGGAAATTAATGATTAAACCACTCACACTAATGAGAAAATTATTGGTGATTAAACTCATAGTCACAGACTATTGCTAATGGCCACTTTAAAAACCATTGTTGTTTTATGGGGTATGCCTCAGAGTCCACTTCATCAGGAAATCCTTCCAGAGCATCCCAAGGGGCTATGACATGGAAAACCCTTGTGTTGTCTGTTCAGCTGTTGTACTTCTGAATTTGAGGGGAAGGCCTTATTCTTGTAACACCTCATCTTCCAAAAGCTCTGCAGTCAGTTCATCAAAGAGAGGCCTGGCCTGGGATATGAGAGGGCTGTAATCCAACAGAGATAAGAAAAGGCCTGGGGAAAAGCAATAAAAATCCTGTTGGTCAAAGCTTTGAGTAAGCAGCAGAACAGCAAGTCCTGGAAACAAACAGGAATGCCTTGAAAAGAACATAGGATGTCTCCCAGTGGAGAGTGTTGCAAATTGATTCAGGACAGTTTAATTTCATGAGCCTATTTTAGATTTACAGATTTCCCACCACATACTCGGGCGAATTCACAGCATATCTTCCAAACACAGTGTTCCCTTGCTCCCTTGACCATATATAGAAGCAAAATACCAAATTGGCACTCAAAACTCAGAGACCTGCCAAGAGATAGGCCATTCAAAATGATAAATATATAGGGAACAAGGCAAACCTGCCATATATGGCTGTGAGAATGAAACAGCACGATCCGTATCATACCTACGCAACGGGAACGTTTGCCCTTGGCACTGGTTTTGTGGTACTTTGATTTTTAGCAATCAGGGAGTTTATAGGGTTGGGATTTTCACCTGCTGCAGTTCCCCATGCAAAGCTGGGTTTTACTTTTTGTTATTCCAGCTTGCTGTGTATAAATCTTCCAGAGAGTTAATGGCCAAGTTTATATTACGTCTCAGCCTTCCCTGCTTTTGCTCCCTCTTTTCTAGATGCTTTGGGAGCTTAGTCATCACTTGTTAGTAATTTGTGTTCCTCCAGCTCTTCTGACTCTGCATATCCTGGAGAGCAGGGTAATTGCATGATGTACAACAGGGAGGCTTTAATCTTTTCAGAAGTGTTATTCTGCCTTCTGCTTGATGTTGTCTTACGGGATAATGCCTGTCCAAAGAACACTCAATGGGTACAGGTTGTCTGTTTTTCCTAGAAAGAAGGATGTGAGCTGTCCTGGATAATTGGTGGTCATTTACCTCAATTCAAGAAAAGCATCTGCTTTTCAAGCAATTGAGTGAATAAACTGTGCTGAAGTAGCTTGTCACTAACAAAGACTTTCACCACAGTGGTTTCTCTAGTGCAGACCCAGGAGGCACTGGCTGGAGAGTTGTCCTCAATTCCAGCTTTGGCCTTGGATAAGCTCCTAGGTGCAGCTCTAGCAAAAATGGGAGCATTGGAAAGGCTGCTTGTCCTCTACAGTGGTGCTGGATCTTGCAGCCAGGGCTTATGACGTATATATTTTCACATCTCCATGCTTATAGAGATGGTAAAACTCCAGATATGAAATACAGACTGTAAGTGAAAATAACTATCTTTCAGAGCTCCAGTATCTGCAAAACTGCTGTGCATGCAGGAGTCATTCCAGATGAAAGAGGTGGTTTTGTGGATGTGATGCCTGTTGAAAAGAAGAAAAGTTATGTTGGCTCCCTAAAGAATGGAGTCCAGTCTGAGAGGTGGGATTTTTTTCCTTCGTACTTTCCTTTTGTTCTCAACTGTGTGTTCAGTTGTAAGTCAAAGTCAGCAGATATCAGCTAGAAAGGTTGGTGGATTGGAAGTACATGACTTAACAGTGTCGCTGTGAATTTTAAGACTGAAACAAATAGAGCGTGTTGTCCTGCTCTTACTCTCCACAAGCAAGGAGCTACTTCCACATTGGTGCGAAACATATGAAATATTGTTAAGCTTTGTTTTATTTTATTATAGTATGAGTCCATATTAATACATTTTGGGGTGTGTGTTTAACACATTAAAAGGTGAAGATGAGTATTTCTGGATCTTTCAGCCTGGGTCATGTTTTGACCCTTATAATTGGGATTTCCCGTCAAATTTAGGGTGTGGGATGCATTTGTATTTGTTATTCTCTTTGGAAGAAGCTAACCTCTGGGTAAACTAACCTCTTAACAGATATCAAACAGGTTTTGAAAATGGATTTGCCACCCTTATGAATTTTTATGGTTTCTTTTGGGACAGCCTTGCTGGTTTCAGTGAACGGTTGCAAATCAGTATTTCCATAACCTGCAACTCCGGATGATCACAAAGATCAACTCTGAGTTCATTCAGTCCTATCTAATTTGAAACTTCAGTTTTAGTCTGTGATGCATATTATCAGACATTGGTGTGAAGTACTGATTTCTCAGAGCTATCTTTGCAAACATAGAATTTCCCACTATTATGGGGGTTTTGGTCACTGCTAACACGGCGCTCTCTCTTCTGCGTGGTTCCTCTCTTATAACTACCATAAGAAATCCAAACAAGTTTCCTGTTTTTATTCTAATAATGGATAACCCAGAATGCTGTAAAGCATCTCAGAAAATAAAAATAGACTAAGATAGGAAAGCTATAGGTGTTAAATCTGGGCTGCTTTAGTGTAGATCTATCAGGGTCAGCGTTCTGCAGTTCCGTGATTTACAATCTGGTAGATTGGATTTAGATGACAAACCTCCTGTTCATGAGTTTTCTTCTATTGCTGTCTTGCTTTCATTTATCTTGTATACTAACAGACAGCTTTATACTTGGATGACAAACTCTGCCCTAGCTAAGAATAAACTCTACTATTAGCACTGACATGCAATATGAGCACTCGGTGCTGATCTAAGAGGTGAGGGAAACCAAAGACATTCTCACAGTAAGGATGAGCATGAAGATCTGGAAAATGTTATTTACACTCAGCAATAAGGAGCACCTTCATGCTGTGAGACCCACTAGACAGAGAAATAGCTTTTCAAAGATGAAAACCTTTACCCTTGAGGACACTGGAAATAACCTTTGCTAGAGATGCATACCCAGATAGGTATGGGAAAAGGTTGCCTTTAAAATTCACTGAGTCTTTACCCCTGCTGGAATGTTTATTTTGTGGGGAATATGAAATTTTACCTTTTTTCCTGGGGTTTTGCAGCCCAGCAGGGCTCAAGAAATAAGGGCTGGGAACAGAAACCACCCCTTGTCCCCATGCACACATCCAGCAGCTCTGAGTCAGAGTTGTTGGGGATGTCTCTGCAGATTGAGAATTAATATCCATATTTATTGTCATTTAATGTTAGCTGATCTGTCTGTTCCCATTGCCAGCACCAGGAAACAGGCCAGACAGGCCCTGGGAACCTGCCAGCCTATTTGACAATTTACTTTTTAAGAAAACGTTCCTCTTTATGCCTGGATCTCTGCATACGGGAGCAGTGTTCCTTGGATAAAAGCTAGCACTATGAGAGAGGCTCTTGCTTCCCAGCTCCCTTTGTTGGTATTCACACTATAGATTTGGATTGAAAACGTAAAACAAAGGTGGACTCGTGGATTTGTGCCTCTTCTTTTCCATCCTTAATCTTTCTCTTGCTCATGGTAGCGCCACATCAGCACAGAGCCAGTGTGCGTGTATGTCTATTGCACTTTGCATCCTGCAGCACCCATGTTTGGTTCATTACATGGGTTTTGGTTTTAATCTTTTCTTTTTAATTTCTTTCTTTTTCTCCAGCTTAAAGAATCCTGCGGATGGAAACGCCTTCCGGATTTTTGCTGTGAAGCAGTAAAATCCCAAGGAAGGTCCATTTCTCTTTGGGAGAGCGCTCTGTTGATCTCCAGAGACAGGAAGCCTCCTCTGACAGCATCAGCTCTGACTGTACCCTCCTTGCTGATCTCTTTCAGGGAATTAAAAAAGAAAATGGGGAAAAAAAAAGAAAAAAAAGACAAAAAAAAAAAAAAGACACCAGGTTCTGACTCAGCTGTTCGCATCTCATCACACCCGTTCAGCGTTGTATCTTTCTGTGTTTTTGTTTCTCTAGGGGCATTCAGCAACGATAAACTGTTCTAACTTTCAATTTACAAGAGGTGTGCTACACAGAACGACAGTAGCTTAATGTATGGCAGATGTAGGGATCTTGGCCTGGCCTTGGATAGCATTTTTAAGGTGTGAAGCATCTACTGCAACTGGTGTGAGGATGTGCATACTGCTGAGCAGACTTGGAAGTGAGTGACTATCCAGGTGCTGGATCCTTTGAAATGAGAAACTGTTTGAAAAGTTGCATCCTTTGGGGAGAGGCTGGGCTTTGACAGAGTGGTTTTGTGTATATATGATGTTTCGTGTGCAACAGAAGAGAAAATCTGGTCTTTTCCCAATGAGGTGGCATGCATCAGCACGGCTGTGTAAGGCTGCTGGGGCATCACGCTAGGCTATGTTGTATGATTGTGTCATGTTTGGGGAGAGGATGTTCTTGTCGGTTGGACGTCAAGGTTTTTTGGGGATATTAGTAGGGTGTGAAATGGTGGCAGAGAGCCTTGCTGCAGAAAATGAGGCCACCAGATAACCAAAACAGCAAGTTTAGTGTTTGCTGGTCAAACATTCACAGGTATTTTGCAAGTTTGGCAACCTATGAGAAGTCAATGAATTGGGGCTCCTGTGCTGGCACATCTCATCCTATACTACACGCCATTTCACATAAGATTTCAGTTAAATGCAGTGTATTGTTTTATACAGCAGTGCTGGTTGTTTTATCTGTAGTAGTTAAGTAGTGATGAAGTTAATCTTATTTCTGCTAGGAATGGTTGCAGCCGTAGGAAGCATGTTCACTTCACCTTTGTGAAGCTTTTTGTGGTGTGTGCAGTTCTGAGACTTTGAAGTTATGACATAAATTGAGTTAGATTAACTTTTCCCTTTCAGTTTGTGAAACCAGCAGTTCCCCACTGTCAGTGTGAATGCTATACTAAAGAGCATTTGGTACCCAGAATGATACGTTTTGCATAGCCCAGATGTGTTATAATGATGTTATTTCATGTTTTGTTATTTACACCTCAACATGCACCCAACTGCATTCCAAAGCCAAAAGGAGAGCCCAATATGACTTGCTCTTTTAAGGCTGGAGAGAGTATTCTCTACTTTGTATTGGAAATGAATTTTTACAATTGGTCTAAACACAAATCCAGTTGTAACTTCAGTAGTCATAAGAAGGCAACTTAAATTTTAATTCTTCAGTTCTTGTTAATGCATAATCCTTCTGCTCAATAACTTGACTGTAATATTTTATAACAAATGAGAAAATATTACCCTTTGTTTGGCAAATGTCTCATAGCTGCTCTTATGCTCAGGTCATGTTTGTTTTACTCTAGACAGATATACAAGCCATCTCTTCAAGCTCTTTCAAAACACAGATCAAAAATGTTTATATAATTAAGCACGTCTTTAATTCTGTAAACACCATGAAATCAGCAAGGATATTACATTTATCACTCAGTTTGTCTCACCATTGGGGTTTCTTTCTCTGTGAAATCTGAATTTGGAAAGAGACCTTTTGTAAAAGCTGCTTTGCATCGTCTCCAAAAGTGCTGCATAGAAAACCTAGCTTTGTGGGGGATAGAAAGAAATGACTCTGTGTGTTGTCTTTGTTTATATAGTTTATATAGTATCGTCTTTCAAGATGTATCGTATTTGCTTTAGATAGGAAAACTGAACTATTTCTTTCTTAATAGGTAAATTGGTGTTAAAAACAGCTGGAACATATCTTAGAAAAGCTGCTGGTTGGAAGCATTTGAGATCTTGGCAGTGAGATAAGGCTTTCCCTGTGTCTGCCCACTGTGAATAATTACGCTATACATGGTCTGGTTCAAGCCCATTACATACTGCAGCATGAATCTAGGACCATCATGGGCCAAATGGTAGCCACAGTGCTACTTATTGAATTAGAAAGAGTAAGAGATGCAATCAGGTATTCTTCACAGGGACTGCAAGAGCACATAAACGCCTGATGCTAACATATGATCCCACCTCTAACATGCTGTCAGTAATAAATTACATGTGCTCTAAAATGACGGAAAGAAATGTGAGGGCTCTTGCAGACAAGCCCAGGGGATTATTGTGAGCACATAAAAATCCAAACAGCTTGGGATATATCTACCTGAAGAAAAGGGGGTGAGGGAAGAATTATTATTCCAACAGAAATATCCTAACATACGTAATTCAAGTTACAATTGCGTATTTTTAACTTCAGCCAACTGGTTTGGATTTTTAGAAACTGATGTTAATTTAAGTTTGTATCTGTTTATTTTTATATCTGTTGCACAAAAGAGAAATTGTGACCTTACTACACAAATATTATTCGAGGTCCTGGGTGCTATTAGTTTAAACATACCTCCACCAGAATTAGGGGCGATCAGGTCCTCCAAGGCAGTCATGATATATCAATTACTTGCAATCATGTGTGCTAGCTATTCATATATAGGTGGGACAGTACCAGTTTTTAGCCAAATATTTACTGATTTTATTTCTGATACCAAAACATTTCTCAGCCTAATATATTTCAACGCAGCTTAAAGGTGCAGCATGACTTTATATCACCAGATCCATTCCTGCTTAGACGCCAGCCCAGCAGATTAGTAAGAACATGGCAACTTGAAGCATCCAGGCATAGCCATAGTGGTGAAGCCTCTGGCAAAGCCAATGTTGCCTGGTTGTTCTCTTCCAAGGAATTTAGTTTTGAAGCCAAGCCTGCCAGTGCAGACACTGCCATTGCAGAGCATCTGGCTCACCACAGACAGCTTTCAGTACACACAACCAGTGTGAAAGTTGAAGCATGGTGCCTCCCCAGCTGCCAGTGTCCTGTCAGGTCCTTTGGCTCCATTAATATCTTCATTTTAAGATGTTCAGCCAACACCTGATTGAGGAGTCTCCGTTTGGTTGGTTGTGCAGTCTAAATATTTAGGGCCAGTTCATAGAGTTGCTTTTCTTTTTTTCTATGAAAAATGATGTATTTTACTTCCTATGTGTAAAAGTTTCTTGTAAATTTTTACCTACTTTTGCATGTTTTTCAAGGGGCCGTGTGTTTATAAACTACAATTTTTTTTTTCTAAATAACAGAATTGTAAAATATCTTTCCCTTTCCCCTCCATTTTCTTTTGATTTCTGAATTATTTGTGAAATAAAACCTTTCCAGAATGAATGCTTCCCTTGTCTTTAATGCTCAGCCAGAGCTGGGGTTGTATTTAGAAGAGCTATTTGGGATTCCTCCTGGGGACTTGAGTATCCCTTGGAGAGCCCAAGCAAGATCGGGATGTGCAGAGTTTATTCCATAGACAAATAAATAAAACTGCCCAGTGCCCAGGCATTAAAAGCCAACCTTTACCCCATCAAGAATAAGCAGTATCCTTTCCTGAAGCATCCTGAGAGTAAGGGAAAATGAATGTCTGCCTTTAAGTTCCTGCAATATAAGTGCTGAAGTAGATTAAAAGTGGTTGGAAAAAGTGTTTAATGAAGTTATGCTGCAAAATACAACTGAGATGAACTCCCCTGCAGCTCGACCAGGCTGTTGTTAAATGTACCCTTAATTTTTTGAAGACAAAAGTACATATTTTATTTATTTTTTAATTTATTTTTAAATTCCCCTTGAAATTTTCTCCAAGCTCATCCTTGCCAATGGCACCACACATCAAACCAACTTGTTTCACGGTAATTCAACTCCATCTTGGTTAAAGGAGCAACTATGGCAATGAGTTTTACAACTCGGCTTCCAACCAATGAGCACCAGATGGCTTTTAACCAAAAATCTGAGCCATGGGAGGGAGTCCTGACTGACAAAAAGGCCATGAAATTTTATGTGTTCCATTCCAACAAAATCAACATAAAATACAAAGACGTTTGCATCACTCTTAAGCTGGCCTGGTACAGTTATGGTTGAACAGTATGTGACTGTAAAACCCAAACAAAGGACTTGCAAGGTGGCATCTTTATTCTTCTGCCAGTGATTTCTGCAATTACATACAAGCTGCACATCTGAACTTGCTAACGTCCATTTTGTGCTTGCTTCCCCCAGTCTCACTGATGCAAAAATACCTCCCCTACTGAAAGTATTGGGGAAGATTTTCACAAGCACAGCTTAGAAGTAAGCAGGGAAGTGCATTCATAGTAATGCTCATGGTCATGCTGAGGCTGCTTAGACCATCCTATTAATTGTAAGAGTTACTTGAGTTTCTATTTGTTAGTGCTACTGAATGCCCCAAAATACTCTGGCAAAATTTAGGTCCTGATTGGCCTAGAGAGAAAAATAATGTAACACCTAAAATTTAAAGCTGACATTCTTATTTTTTTGTTCTAGCTTCTGACCTTTTGATGTTAGCTCTGATTTTGTGAACTGTTGTTTCCTCCTGCTCAAGCCATGTCCCTTATGCTATGCTTGTCAGCAAGAAAATGGTGAAATACAAGTGCTGCATGAGAACAACATTACATGCAACACTGCTTCTTCTTTTTGGAGAACAAGTTGCAGGTCAGGTAAATGAAGACTTAGAGCACAACACCAAGAAGTAAGAGCAAGACTGATTTCCCCTCCCCAGCAGGAGGTGTGATTCAGACTCGTGCTTTAGTGGAGAGGACATAAAAACTGAAAGGTTGAACAAGAGTAGAGGGGAAAGGAAAGAGAAACCCATGTGCATCTGAATGAGAGTAGCTGTCTACAAAAGGGCAGATCTGATAACCCTGTTTTCCTGTGCTGCTGATAATCCTCTGGGATCAACAAGCTGCAGGACTCTGCCTGCTCACTGTTAAAGGAAAAGGTCTTGTTGCTCTGCCTGCTCCTCACTCCATGCTGAGCTCATCAGAGGCTATGTATAGCATGGGCATGCCTTGGGATGGGTGTTCTTCCAAAACCCCACATTCATTTATAGGATGCACCCGAGCAATGTTTTCAAAGCCATTTTGCAAACGACGGGGTTGGTTCTCATTTATACTAAGGACTTACTTTAAGGCACTTAGAAGACATTTATGCCACTTTAGGGTGTGGACAGAGCAGTGTAAAGAAGCCTCAGTGCGAACAGAAACCACCCTTATATCTTGTTGACAGTGGTTAAAATAGGGTTATGGAGTTAAATCAACAGACAAGGTCTCCCTTATGCAGTGCTCTTCTCTGCAGTATTTGCTCTTCACTCTTCATCCCATGTGAGCAGGCAAAGGCTATATGCAGTTTCCTTCACCCTCTGCTGCGTAGCTGAGCACATCGTAGGTTATTAAGTGTCAAATTGAATACAAGGATATTTATAGCGGGCTAAAAGTCAAGAGGCTCAGGTGGGATATTATAGCTGGAAGCAGAAAGAGAAGGGAGCACAGGCTGCAAAATAAGTTCAGTGCTTCAGAGTGCCTTACAAGGATTGCTTCTCCCAGGTCTGGGGGCTCCTCTGCATTAGGAGCTGTTCATGACCATGACTGCAAGAGAGGGAGGACACTGGTATTTGTAAGTTTTGTTTTGTTTTTCAGTAACTTCTTCGAGGCTTGGTTCTGCACATCTTTCTTTTGCACTTTTGAAAGCCTAAGAAAATGCCATCTATGAGCTATGCTAACGGGCTATAGGACAAGCTTGACAGGAACAAATCTTAAAAGCAGCCTAATTTCCTTCAAAACCAGCATAACAGGCTTTGTGAAGTGAAAAAAAAAAAAAGAGTAAAACCCAATACAGATTGACTGTAGGAGGGGTTTTGGTACCATCTCACTTGACAGAGTCATAAACAGAATGTGGTTTAGATTAATACAAGGGTCTCCAAAACCACACCAGTAACTGTTGGAAGTTGGAGAAACGGTCCGTAAAAATGGGAAGGGATGAATATAAGGAATAATAACAGATGGAGAAGAACCAATAAGGCACTAACTTGGCACAACTGAGATTAAACAGTCAGAATCATCACACTATTTCCAAGGTGATACATGTCATATCTGATGTGCAAAGAGTGACATGGTCTGAAGACATGTGAAAACAGTTTTTCTTCATGCTGTTAAGGTCCGTGTAGTGCATGGATCTATACATGCCACCCAAAAAGTATGTAACCAACTATGAGAAGTCCAGGAGTAAGCAAAAAGAGGGACCTGAGAGACAAAACAACACCTGAGAAAGGAAGAAGGGTGCTTGGAATAAAGATCTGGAACGGTGCAGTCATGGACTTGCATTGTCCCATGTTTGATACAGAGAGAGACCTTCTAGTAGAATGGCTTAGGTAAAGGTGTGCAGTGCCATGTTAGTGTGGACTGAGATAACAGAAAGTAACCCTTGCTCTCCCAGCTGTTGTTCACATTTATTACCACTGTAGGTGTTTTATCAGACAAATGAAGGCAATGGGTCTTTGTGGTGGGTTTAGAGATGGAGCCAGGGACCTCCTACCATATCTGAGGATAAGCGTTGGGGAGAACCCTGGAAAAATGCAGATCTGAAATGCTAGCAAGGGGTGATTTAGGCCATCCCCCTAGGGATGTCACTGAGCAGAGTAACACAAACTGAGGGCTGGCTCTTGGACAGCAGCATGAGCTGCTGAAATGCAGAAGAGGCATCTCGTACCAGTGCCAGGCATGTAGCACCATCTGAGGCTAGGCTTTTGGTGGGAAGATGGAGACCATGGAAAGTTTTTCATCTGCAGAGTCATGAAACAATCTCAGGCGTCTGAGGGCAGCTGGCCAGCTCGGCAGGCTGTGTTTGCCTTTCCAAAGACACGAGTGAAGTCAGGCTGGCTTAAACTGCTACAGCAAAGCAGATGCACAGAGCTAAGAAGCCTACTGCTGGTCAACACTTTTCTGGGGAACAGGTTCTTCATCAGGAGATGGTGATTTTTGTAAATCCAAAGCACTAAACTGGAACTTGTTTGGACACCAACCATTTTAACAAGAGCAATAAAGTTATGAAAACACTCTAGCTTTGATAAGCTCAAAGCCTAGACCAAGGAAAAGACTTTAAAAGCCAGCTCCAGCTGATGTGGACAGCTCAGGATGCAGTTCCAGCAAATGTTTGTAGTCCTCTTTTGAGGATAGTTACTGGAAAAGTGATCAAACCCTGGCCTATCTGCCATGTGCAGGTGAGGGCTTAGTATGGAAGGGGTCCCCGGCCCCACCATGGGGTGTCCCACACTGACGCAAGAGAAACTCATGTGAGGTCTGTGGTCTTCTCTTATATAATCCATGACTTCAGATAAAATTAATGCCAAGTGCCCAAAAAAGGGATTGTGTGTGCTCTCTAGCAGCCTTTTCCCGTAATCTGAACACAGCATTCGACTGTGACAGTTTTGCCAGTAAAAGAGAGGTTTTTCCTTTGCTTTGAGATCCAGATTTAAAATTAGCTGCATCTCAGCAGAGCCATCAGCAGTGATCCCTGCCAGCCTCAGCGCTTGGTGTTAGAGGTTCAGTGCCGTAAAATAGAGCAGCAGCCCAGTTTAAACAGTGACCAGAAAAGTTTGTTCAGGGTGGGCTCCCTGGCCGTTAACAACAGGAGCCTCCATTAGCTCCTACGTTGAGAAAACCAGTCAAACTTTACAAAAATACTTCCTAAAGTAAATATTAGTGAGTCACAGATACTAAATATTAATAATTCATACATTGGGAACAGAAATGTTAGCAGGATCTGTAAAGTAGGTATTTTTTATGCGCAATATTACAGGATTGGGTATGTGTTCCTCTTTGGGGTGTTTTTTGTCTTGTGTATGCCAACCTTTCATGTCTGAGATGCAGGCTTGGAGCTGCTCCGGGGTCTTGAGTCAGCGAAGCCAGTTGGTGTCTAAGTCCCAGGATGGAACAGATTGCCTGGAAGGGACCCAAGCAGGAATGACGTTGAGCAGTGCTCCCCATCCAGGGGTCAGTAGTGGGGCAGCGTTGGGGAATTGGAGGGTTTGACTCCATACTTCATGATGTAGGAGGGGGTTTGCTTCATTGCCAGAGTGTTCTCTGGGAAAAAAAATATCAACCCAAACCCAACCACGTTTATGCAAAGTTTATGCAACCACCCAATCCCCTAAAGCACTTTTGTTGCATTGAGAAGCAAAACAGAGAGGGAGCCCCCCCTCATTTTTCTAGATAGGCAGTTTCAAGTGAGAAGTGGTTTTGTTGATCAAAATTACAAAAAAAAAATCAAAAATCAGTTTTAAAAAAGTGAAATTGCAGCTATTTCAGTCATTTCATGTCTGAAAGCATGGCTT